TAAGGCAGGGAAGGATGCTGGAGCTTTTTGGCATGGGACAATTGTTTATCAAATTCTGATGTGTGGATCGGAGCCTTCGGATTTTTGGAAACAGAAGTGAGGAGCTCTCATCATGGCGCAAAATAAAGAGCTAAACATGTTGAACAGATTCCTAGAAATGTGACTCTTAAAGATTTATGCGATTGGACTATGTCTTGCCACATAGTGCTTTTGGATTGTAATTTTCATGGATTGTAATTTCAATTGCCCATTTTAGGGATTGTTACTTTTGGCAGATAGTGGTTTTATTATTCATCTTTTATTTGAATCGTTTCATTGCTACATATATTATTTTGCTAGAAAAAAATGAAACCAGAAAAAGGAACAAAAAAAAACAGGTTCTTGGGTAGACCCTGAAACCGGACCGAAAAACAGGGTCGGTTCCAAAACAGGGTCCAAGGAAAACATGGTCGGTTTCAGGTTCCAAAAATTAGGAACCGGTTATAACAGGGTTGGTTTCAGGTTCCAGGTCTAGACCCAACCCACCCTGGAACCGATCACTCCTAGTGGGGCTTGTGGTTCAAGACCACAATTAGCCTATATCACATGATTCACGCATATAAAAAGTATAGTTGGATTGCTTAATGGGTCTCTCTTTCAATTATAAAAAAGAGCAGGCCAAGCCCTAGGTTAATTCAAATTGAAAATTCTATTTGATTAACAAACAAATTATAAATTAAATCCCTAAGATGAAAATCTAAGCATTGTTGGCGTACATCAAAGTTCCAAGCAAAATGAACTGACCAGTCTGCGCAAGAACTTCCTCCTGTACACCCATTTAAGTATTTCGACGACGAAATCGCTTAAAGCATATGTCGAATATACACGAGAAATAAGATAATCTGTAAAATAATCCTAGGCTTTGGACTATCACACTTTTTTAGTGTTACACATGAATTTGGAGTTGTGGACTGAAATGTTTTGACTTTAGGCACATAGATGTCACTGCTGTATCTACCCTAGTTGGGTGCTCCATCTTTTGATGACGAGTAAGTGAAGCTTTCCGCAACTATATTTCCACTTCCAGCTAATCCAGTTGGAAGTGGGAAATAGAAAGTAAACCTGGCCACCATAACGATCGTAATTTAACATAGTGTTCTTCTTCTAGAGGTTTCAAAAGTCATCAGTTGCCGACAAAATGAACTAACCCTACCTACACCTTGCTGTCGATGCTTTTTGTTTAAACTTATTAAATAAGTAGCATCATAAGCTAATAATCATAGGGTTCTCAACTATTTGCTCTCATATGGGAAAGAATGCATTGATTGTCTGTTCATAGTGACAGAGTTGCTGTTGATGACGCCCCCAAGAAATTGATGGAGAATCAACTGCTATTGCTACTGAATAAAGCCTAATGTGTTTTTTGTATGGCATAGTGTCTCACCAACTCTGGATGACACAGCTTAGGTTTTTATTATTCAATATACCTCTAATTACAACCTCACAATAATTTCGCGTTGACGACTCTTATGTGATGAGACTGCGCATAATTCATAGGGAGACAATAGGGTATGTGAGGTTATGATCATTTTGGGTTCAGCAGGTATTGTGTTATACCAAGCGACCGTCATATGAAGACAATAAGGTTAATGTCATAGCCAGGTTCGGGTTTGGATCGGTTCTAATATCACAAGAAGGCACTGGCGTGACGCAAACAAAGGCAAGACTTCTAAATTTTCGAATCGAATGGGGTGCGAGTAGGCATGCAAATAAAGACTCAATCCCATCTTGTACATAAAATGCTTAAAGCAACATAAAATATTACCATAGCAACTCAACCGAATTTGAATATGGCTTCTAAAAAAACAAAGCATACCCAATTTTTGTTCTTTTATATATGCGTAACGCAAGTCCACTAGAATATAGTTCATTGGAAGGTCCTAAGCCGCTAACTTAATCTCTATTAAATCATTTAAATATATAGTTCTTGGAAGTATGTGCTCCAATGAATAGTCAATCAATCGGCAGATATTCTCCAAAATAGATACATGCGATTCATCAAGATTCTCTAATTTTGTTCCATTGATTAAGGGGATGCATCCAAATTTACGTTGTAAGCTTCTTGATAAATAAATCTTCTCGTATCTCTTAGAAAAGTAGTATCATTGATTCGTTCTAAGAAGAGCCAGATTGGGTTGAATCTTTCTTTTAATTCTATGAGTAAAGGGAGGAAAGCACTTCAAGATTCTTAAATCATTCAACTATATAATATAGAGCTCTAAATACTAATAGCAATCGGACAAACTCAACCTACGAATGCCTTCAATTTGATTTTATGCAATATCTAGATAGAGAAACTTAAATATTCTCGTTTGTGAGTGTTAAGTCAACTCAAGATTGAAGAAAAATTGGGGGAAATGGTGGTTGCCTTTTGGATGGGTCTCCATGTCCATTTTTGACCCATGTTTTGGATTATTGCAAACAACTCTCTTCTTTGGCCGGCTTCGAAAAGTATAAAAAATTCTTCTCATTTTAATTTTACAACTCTAATCCCACTAAAAAATAAATAAATAAATTTCACCTCTATTTTATTTCATTTCCGTTTTGTTTTTCTTTTTTGCTTCTACGAGGGCCACGTATTCTCGCCTTTTGTTTCGAACCGTGTTAAGCTAGCTAATGTCCATGAAGAAAAAGGAAACCATGTTCACATTCACAGAATATAATCCTTAGCAAATGATTAAGGAATCACATGAATTCGACATACACATACACATATATTTTGATTTACGAAGCATTGTTATTTATATGATGGCATTGCATTTGCATGGGGACTTTGCATGGATATTTCAAGAACTTTTATATGACGTGCAGTAGAAGTTAACAGAAACGCTGGTTGGTTTATGAAAATCAGAAAACAACACCATAAACTGTTAGGACTAGCTAGGGCAACGTGTTTGCCCTAATCTTGGAAATGGAAGCTCGATATGTTTATGTCCGCAGCAGCCAATTGTTCTTGTATTTAACGAAATGAAGAGCAGAGAAATATGTGGTCGTTGTTTTCCTTCGTATGGTCACATGGATTCCTTTTCAGTTCATCTTTCTCTCTGACAGTATACAAGTTCGAGATCTCTATCTCTCTCTCTATCTCTCTTCTCGATTCGTAGGCCTCGTTTTTCTCTTTCCTTCGCAAGAATCTCTGCGCACATCTGTCAGCTTTTACCTCTCGCTCTGTGCGGTCGTACGGTCGACCGTATTATTACCAAATGACGATAGGGAAAGTGTGATTCTAGGGTTCTTGATCTTCACAATGCACCAAGGAGGTGTCATAAGCTTATCCATTATTCCCTCGTTTCCCACGATGCATCATTGGTCACTTCAAATGCGACTATCACATAAACTAGCTAAAACAGGAACCGAGAATAAGTTCATTTCAGCTTTACTCGATCGATTGAAGAAAGTACGGCAGCCTTATTCTGATATATGTTCTAGGGTATTGGATAGGGATGTTTTCGGATTGGATCGGGTCAAACGTATGTCATGAGTCGTCCCTACCAGTCGAGTTTGGTTGTTGAAACTTCCAATGAGTTTGTATCTGGTCTAGTTTTCGTATGAAGAAGAATTTTCCAAGAGGGTGGGTTGTCTGAAGTGGAAGTTGGTTTAGAAACTTTGGTTTCTCCATATGATTTTGAGATAATATGCAAAGGAAACCAAGTGAATTTAATGACCAGAAAAAGCATATGTGTTGGATATTTTCTTCCAGCTTTCAATGATTTTCTTCAACTTGGAATATCTTATCATAAATATTTCCCACGGATTGTATTCAAGGGCTTACATAATGCAATTCTTGCAATATTTAGACACGATCAATTTAGGTTAGCGACGAACAACGTAATAATATGGAATATAGATAGAGAGAGGAGCGAACATTAAGTCTATAAGCAATTCAGAGATTAGTGAATATAGAGGCGAGGATAGGCTAATTATATTGAAAAAAGACAGGAGAATTTTAAATAAGTAATTGAGCGTGAGAGCCAGATGGATTTTCAAAGATTCTTGTTTAGTTTGGGAAGGGATTATTGAAGTTTTGACACGATTGGAAAGATAAACTATTTTCGTTAAGCGATTTATTGGCTAATCACTTCGTCAAGAGGTTCTTCATGCTGCACACGTTGTTGGTGGTTATGAGCTTGATTAATCAAATGGAATGCAATGATCAATGTTAGACTTAAAATTTAAGTGACTATGTGACCCGATCCACCACAATTAATGCCCACTTATGGTTGTAATTAACATAAGGTTGTGCTTGTTGCAATAAACAAGATGTTGCTGCTGTTGCTAATACCATTTGACTAGTTTTTTGGTATTGAAAAAACATTAAGAGACGGTTTTCGCGTTATGAAAGATGTTGTTCCGACCTCATCGACCAGAAACTACTATATGACGCAATGAGAATCAAATTATCATCTCGATTATCTTGCACGGCTTTGATGTCATGTTTAGGCAATATTGCATTATAGACCAGGAGGAGATCAATATGGTAATTTAACCACAAAGTGTACAATAGCTAGGCAACTTTCTTGCTCCAACCATAATCCTCTAAAGCATCATCAAACCATATCTTTGCAAATATATGGTGGTGGTGGCTGTCCTTAGATGCGTTAATAATGATGTTAACATAATTTGTTAATGACAAGACATGGTTGTCCCCAAAATGGGCAGGTTGATTTCTTTAATCCAACCCCATCATTCCCCCCACTCCATTACAAAATCTCATAATACCCTTTTGTGTTTTCCTTTTCTCTCTCTCTCTCTCTCTCTCTCTCTCTCGCTCAATTTTTATTTCTTTTGCAATAAAACCCTGAAAAATAAAACTATTTCACGTGCAGTAAGCTGTAGACATTGCAATGATTCACCATGGCGCTTTTAAAAAAGCTCAAACCCTCCCTTCCTCCCTTCAACACATTATACCAAAAGCCAAGGCAGTTTCCTTCGGCTTTCCAAGATATTCTCTCCTCTCTGGGGCTCACAGAGAGAGAGAGAGAGAGAGAGAGAGAGAGAGAGAGAGAGAGAGAGAGAGAGAGAGAGAGTAAAAATGGCACTAGAAGCAGTGGTCTTTCCGCAAGATCCATTGATCAACTATACAAGCAGAGAGCTCTACAACTTGCTCGAAAGCAACTGGGGTTGCTTCGACTTCGGGTTGGATCGGAACGAGCACGGAGAATTTTTAGACTACCAAACGGAGAAGGATTTCCCTTGCGGCGAGTGGAACAACAATTCATGCTCGTCAGATGCAGGGAACAACACAGCACAATGTCACTTGAATAATGACAATAGCAATAATGGATCATCGAGCCACCGAGCCGCAGTTGTCGGCCGCCCGAAGCGGCGCCGCACGAAGAGCAGGAAGAACAAAGAAGACATCGAGAGCCAGAGGATGACGCACATTGCCGTGGAGCGAAACCGGAGGAAGCAAATGAACGAGTATCTCTCCGTGCTCCGGTCTCTCATGCCTGAATCTTATATTCAAAGGGTCTCTCTCTCTCTCTCTCTCTCTCTCTCTCTCTCTCTCTCTCTCTCTCTCTCTCTCTCTCTCTCTAAACCCTTTCTTTTGGCAAACCCTTTATTGTCATCAAATTCTTGAATATGTCCGCAGAAATGTATGTTTCTCCCTGAAAATGTGCTTTAGCTGGCTTGTGGAGTGACCTGTTGAATTTTCACATTTTGTGCAGAAATGTATGTTTCTCCCTGAAAATGTGCTTTAGCTGGCTTGTGGTGTGACGTTTTGAATTTTCACATTTTGCGCACATATGCAATACAAAACATTTGCTTGTGCGTTTTTAGCTAATCTTTACAGGGCTTAATTAATTGCGTATTATCCTAATAGGCAAAACAAAAAAAAAATTAATCAAGTAGAGATTTTGGATGACTACTGTGTGCAGGGGGACCAAGCATCAATCATAGGAGGGGCCATAAATTTTGTGAAGGAGCTAGAGCAAAAGCTGCAACTACTTGGTGTTCAAAAGGAGATGGAGTACTTAAAATCTGATGATGACCATGATGATAAACCAACTTCACCTTTCTCTGAGTTTTTCACTTTCCACAAGTACAACAACAACAACAACACCAACTCCTCCAGCTCACAATCACCATCAACAGCAACAACGACGACAGCCTGTTACAGCTCCACTAACGAAGCGGCTGCAGGGAACAAGCGGCCGTCGGCCATCGCGGACATAGAAGTGACCATGGTGGAGAGCCACGCGAGCCTGAGGATACGGACGAAGAGGAGGCCGAAGCAGCTCCTGAAGGTGGTGTCCGGGTTGCATTCTTTGAGGCTAACCGTTCTTCACCTCAATGTCACCACCGTGGATCGTGTCGTCCTCTACTCCATCAGCGTCAAGGTTAGACCTTAATTTCAGTGCTTGCTGATCGCCGCGTTCGGTGACGAACCGGTGTATGGTCTCCATATTATCCCCGGAGCACGCCATTTCGAGCAATTGTCGATTTTGTTATGCAAACATCTTATTCTCTTTCATTAGCAATTTCGGTCCTAAATCAGCATGCTTGAATTGATTCCGTCCATATGGGTTCCTGCGGATCGTAAACATAGTCCCCGGCGCGTGCGATTTGGAGGACGATTATCTCCTGAATTTGGATTCGGAGTTCGTCATGCATTTCTTACTATTTTGTTTTCTCTTGCTTCGTTTGAACAAGCGTCACCAACTTTTAATTAGATTTTGTTATCAAACCATGGCCACATTTTCATTTTAATTTGAGGTACATTCATCATCGTTGTGGTCATAACGTCTTGTATGTCTGTGTTCATACCTTACGTTATGTGAATGCAGGTAGAAGATGATTGCAAGCTGACGGCAGTGGATGAAATTTCTTCTTCTGTGTATCAGATATTCGTCAAAATTCAGGAAGAGTTGATTTAATTAGATTTTATCATTACCTTTAAATTCCTCATCCTCCTCTTATTCTACTTCTTTCCTTTTGTAATTTTTTCTTTTCCTTTTTTTACCTGTTTGTAACCTTTTACGGACTCATAACGTAGCTTCTCTCTTCTTTATTCCCGTAGATTGTAGCCTGTTGTCATGTGGTTATTCAAAAGTTCGCCAATTTCATTCGAAATTGATTTAGTCTTCATAATGTAGCTTTAGCGCAATGTCAAACTAGGAGTCCAGGAGAAATAAGGCAGCGAGTAATTAAGCTTTCTTCGAGTCGTAATGCGTCGAATCGAGTTGACTGATCGAGTGTCCCTCCAAAAATATGTGATTTTGGACCATCATGATAAGTGGAATCGTACCGAACCTTAAATTTCCATGGCCTTAGGTATATCTCCAGTAACTTGTTGAATTATTCACATCATGAACATGGACTATTATTTGATTCACCACGAGTGAAAACGAAAGTACCGTCGAATAATGTTGACTGAGCGACAAGGGGAGGTAAGATATGGCTGGCTAATCAAACATAGTCTTCATCATAAATGCGTGTCATGTTGTATGTATGGCTAAGTCCTTGTTAAGTCATATTGTTAGGAAAGTCTAGCCAAGGATGCAGTAATGAATACGCTTTTTTCGATTTTGTATTTTATCTAGAATAGGTATGATGGTCTACAAATTTGAACTTCAAATGGGAATCATTAGCGTATTGAATGCAAACGATGTCCCCATGAAGCTGTACGATGTTTCACATCCCAAGGAGGAGAAAGTGGATTTTGTTGTTGGTGGTGGGTCTTGTTTGTCTTCTTGGATTGCAGAATAATTGATAATGACATTGGAGCACTTCAAAAAAAAAAATTTGGATATTTTCAACTTTAGGGTTTTTCATCCCAAAAGGAAATATGCACAATCACATGACTATATGTCTATCATAAGATGGCTCGATGCAAAAGATTTTGCCATTAACTTGCAAGCTGGCATTACTAGAAAAGTTTTACCGACAACAGTGGACACAAAATCTGGACCACAGAAGGCAAGCTAGGGCATTTGGCAAAATTTAAGTTAGAAAATGTGTCGAACATAACTTGATAAAATCATACCAAACACCTAGAACTCAAGGACGGTAGCCATTGCTAGTCCCCGGGTCGAACTTGTATTGATATGGTTTTCCGGTGTAATTTAGTGACAGAATAAGAAAAAAATCGAAGACTGCCCTTCATATAAGTATAGGAGATTTTGCAATACCATCAAACAATTTATTTAACGACTTCGAGAGATTGTCGAGTGGATCAAGACTCACTACACTACGATTTAGGGACACATAGTTTTGAGTTCAAAATGTAAGGAAGACAAACTGTCTTTGGGCACCTCAAAAGCATTTTATTCAAGATAATAATCACTCCATCAGTTGCGTTAGTGTTAAAAGATTGCTCAATTTGGCAATTCCCTTGACGATCACCTATAATCTTGCGATTAGTCACGTAATCCACTTTCATACAGAGTCATATATGCAAGGAGAGACTAGGTAGTAGGCTCAATGACTAGGTTGCTGTCTGTGTTGCCAGCTCCCAAGATAATCTTGATCAAAGTCATTTCTTAATAAGGTCAAATTTGAGTTAAGTTTCTATTACTGAATGAATGTAAAGTGAACCAAGGAGGATGATCCCAACTGTTGCAGCTTTACGCGTGGAGGTCTACGATATGCCTAGCCAAACACTGATGAATGACGCCCCTACAGGCAAAAAGTGAGAAGATCCAACAGCTTTTCATTGATATGTCCAAGATGCTATTATTTTAATTTTTCTATCTGATTTGTAGAGCCTAAAGTTCTCACCCCCCCGTAAAAGATAGGTGAAAAAGAAAAGAAAAAGAAACTGTTGCTTTTATTCCGTGAAAAATGTGCAGGAGTATTCTAGGGTTTCGTTTTAGAAGATTCCTTCAACCCCCTAGCTCTTTCTGTGTTTTCTCTTGTTTCTTTCTGATTGTCTGCTTGTGAATGGAACATGGCCTTCAATGATTCCTGTTCTCGGTCTCGCTCTCTCTCGAGATGTCAGTGGCTTTTTTGCTGTAATTATTGTGCAGAAAGAGGCCGTGGATCATGAGCCATTCATGCAAAGCGTAAAAGGGCTGGTGGTGTTGCTTCCCAAAAGGAGAAGAGATCTACAGACGGCATACAATTAACGAAGCAGCGCGCAATAGATAATGATATGGGGCCAACTCGCTTAACATGTACACATTCATCTGTGTAGATCAATGCGCTTGTTATCCATATAGATTTATGTAATAATTGAGCCGAGATAGCGACTTGCCCTAGATCAATCAGTCTAAAGCAGAAGGGCGATTAGACGCATCGCACAAAGCAAAACGAGAAATTACCCTCCAGTGAAACAAGATTGAAGGAAAAAAGGGGGGGGGGCGGGAGAAAGGTACTTTTAATGGTCTCCTGGGAAAATCAGTGGGGATTGGACTTTGTATTACATCCGGTGGTACCGAATATTGGCGATCGGCCTAACTTGTTGTCCACGGTATTCGTGTATACTACGCTACGAATAAATATGTATTAGTCACTTAATATAAATGGAAAATGTGTTTTAACTTTTTCTTTTCAAATCGTTTTGCTTGCTATGGAGAATAGGAAGCTCCTTTCTCGTTGCCTCTTTCTTTTCGCTCTCTCTTTTATTCATTCTTGGTGGCCCCCCATCAGAATATTAAGGAAGCTGTCTAGGGTGACTATTGTTGGTGCGTTGAGTTGAAAGTTTGGAAAGGGAAAACCACAGGTTTGCACGATTTGAGGAAGCTTCCTTCCTCTAGCTCCCTTGTTCATTACATAACATGAGCAACTTTTGGGGTTTAACAACATTTTAATCACTGATTAAGCTGGAGGAGGAGCCTAAGGCAACTTTGGGCTTGCTTGGAGGCCATAACTCAGGAGGGATTTAGTTAATCTTACTAATTAAAACAAATCGTGAGGCTATTTAATTTGGAAAGGATTGCTTAATTTGAGTGGTAAAGGTGATTTATCCTAGGTGCTTCTCGAGAACTCCGACGTCTTATCGGTTCGGTTTCTTATTTGGCGCAACTTCCCGGGATCTGCCCGCTAGCCACGGCGCGAAGAGTTTATCTGCAGATGTCGACGTCAGTGATCCCGTGTTCGAACGAACACCACTTTATTGCGGGATAAGCGGAAAAGAACGGAGTTTGAGACTGCTTCAATGCGCATGGGACAAAATTGAATCACCCAAGGGATCTAATCAATGGTACCTACCTACGAACGAGGTCGGCCAAAAAGAGATAAGAAACGATGCAATGACTTCCATGTTACTATTAATAAAATTAAAAATTGCGCATTTCGTCAACAACAGCGCATCTGGTGTAGTGGTATCATAGTACCCTCCCACGGTACTGACCGGGGTTCGATTCCCCGGATGCGCACGTTTCCTTCACTCTTTTTTGCTTTTGTCGTTCCTAGTTGCCCCTTGCTCCAGCGTCAGCGGTCACCATGAACACAAGTGCCGGTTTTGTTTTAGGACGATTGAGTCGTGGGGGTGCACTTTGAATCGTTCGGGAATGCGAAATTCATTCGCAAAACGGAACCTGCGAGTCATTTTTTTCTTTATTACTAAACGGAAACCCCAACAAAGAAAAGGCATTGAATCAAGCACTTTGACTTCGTAGTCAACGGTTTTTTGTAGCTGGAAGGAAGTCCAAAGCGCAATGGGGCCGGACTTCTTTTCTGGCTGAGATGGGATCTCTCGTAATTTCCTCTAGCGACCCTGCTTCGAAGTACGTGCTTTCCCATCTCACCTATCGCAGGTGACGCGGTGAGAATACACCCATCCCGGGTCATTCGGCTCCCTGATAGACCCGCCAAGCCTGCGGAGCCTGAATTGGGTAGCTGTTGTTTTTGTCTTTTGAATAGAGAGTTTCGAATTATGGGACTTGGTTCTTTTCAATGCATTCTGAGGTTGGTATTGTCATTGTTTAAATCATTCGGTTGTCGGTCTTGGGTCGTGATGCATTTCCTGTGTAATGTATAGCTCGGCCTCATTGTTCGAAGCCTGTGTTTTTAATGAATATGTATATGTTGCTTGGGCTTTTTGCATCGATAGTATTACAATGTTAGTACTGATTTATCAGTGATTGATGATATTTTGCGAAGATACTGCTGATTCGGGGTTTGGCGTGCCATAGTTCTTGGTGGTTAATGTTTCTTATGTCCAGAGCATCATGCGGAGGTATTGTATTCCAATCGCTAGTAACTTTGGTCGTAATTAGCTTGATCTGAAGTTAAAACCGTGAAACTACATTATCTGTGAATACTGCAGCTGCAGTTATCTAGTTTTACTAGCAATTCTGGTAAAATTGATGTTGCCTAGTCAGTGCGCTGTTAGATTGTTTTCTGCCTTCAATGTATTTGGAATCTCGGCCTCTCACCAATCGACCTCTAACTCCTTTTGCCAGTTTAGAATTTAGGAGTCGAGATGTGGATCTTGAGATGCTATTTTACATGGTAAGTTGCTAGCCGGTTTGTAGTCTAAGACTCTCAAATCATCTTCTCATCTGTTCTTTAATATGGGTTTCCCCAAAGGATATATTGCCCAATAAAGAATCAGGATTACCTCTTAATGCCTATATGCTGCATAATCTTGCTAGTGTGGAGTTGAATGCTATTGATTTGGCATGGGATGCTGTGGTTCGGTTCTCACCATTCTTTGAGATTCTTGGGGAAGGATTCTTTCAAGTCAGAGGAACTTTTGAAGTTTGCAAATTTTTCCTAGCATGCGCAACCCCATATTTCTTTATCATATCCTCTTTGTTTACTTGAGTAAGGAGATGTGCCTGCTCATTATTTGCTTTGGAGAGAGTGAGAAATCCTCTGATAACGACAGCGATCCACACTGGTTCAGGTAGCCCTTCGCCTTTGAGTTGTTTGAAGCATTCTCTTCCAATGATGGGCCCAAAGACTCTTGCTTTTCCATTTGTCTTTTCACTCATAATCTCAAGTATGACACAAAGGCACGCCTTCGGGCTACTTGCCCAAGGCCTTCATTCATATGCAAATGCTAGCAGCAAGTACATTGGACTATTTCATGCAAATGCTTCTGCTATGTGTTGGTGCATCTGTGTTTATGTATGTTGCAATTCGGTCTGTTTGCCTGGAAACAGGAAGTATAAGTAGTGGCCATTTTCGGTTAAAGTTCAACTTTTGGTGTGCAGGGAACCATTTTGGTTGATGGTATTAGCACAAAAGCGTGGACGTATACTTAAAGTGACGGTTCCTTCCTCTTGTGCTTAAATAACTGTGTTCATCGCACGAGCAATGAGTTGGAACGTAAAGGAATGTCCATGGAGTATTTACAAATCGATTGTGCAATCAATCCAGTAAGAGGCAACAATGCTTGTGTTCCAGTCCCAACTGAGTTTACATTGAAACAGATAGTAAACAAAAAAAGAACAAATAGCATACAAGATTGGAGGAAGGTTGGGGCACTTGAATTCAATGTCTCTGCATCTACCTCACAGTCCACTCTTATTGAAAAATGCTGAAAAATGCTGTCTGTTCGCTTTTACGAATGTCAGTCTGGCAAAATAGAGCGAAATGCTCGCAGTTATTTTTCAGGAGATTGTAATTGCCGAAGGCATTGTCAGCGTGAAGCTGGGTAGCGGTCTTGACGACTTGCTCACGCGATTTCGTGCAGGGCGAGGTGGTGCAGGTTCCACGCCTTGCCAGCATAAACCCTAGTCGCGACCGCCCGTACCCATAACGGTAAAGTGATCGGAGTTTGCTGCCATCACGGCGGAAGCAATTGACACAAGTTTTGGCGACCCCACGTTTCATCGTCTCCTGGTTTTCACATTCTGGGAAATTGGGACAACTTTGTTGCTTGTGGCTAGTCTTGGACAGTGATGGGCATATAGTTTTTTTGTCCTCCGTTCGGGTGAAATGCATCACGTAGCCATCGCCCGATGTAAATTCCTGCCGTATATCACCCGCGTGGAACACGGTAAAGAAGCAAAATTTCAGTCCCAAATGAACGAAGATGAAGTTTTGGTTAGCGAGGATTAGGCGCGAACTTTAAAACCTGGTAGAAACAATGACAAAGTTCTGTTTACTTAGGCCTATTCCTGCATCTGGGCTTTGCTAGTTGGGCTTTGTGGAATGCATATAGAAATCTATTGAACCGGTCCCTCAGCCCACAATGAATGACAAACAAATGTATACAATGCATGGTGTATAAACATTTTGATTAGGCATGGGGGGTTAATGAAATTGAGTCTTAACAGTCAAAATTATCCATTTGAATCTTGAATGGTTACTAAAATTTGGTCATTGACATTGTTAACTTAAGCACTATAACACCAAGTGTGTTTGGTGAGCCTCATACGTGATATAGGATGGATATATGGTGTGAATAAGAGGGGTTAACCTATATTCAGGTATCATGCTTACTTGCTAGGCAAACTCCCTCGTCCTTAAAGTTTTAGATGTCAAGAGACAGACTCAAAGAAAATTTGAGATTGTAAATCCCATAATTAAATTTGAGATAGGCGCATTGAAAGTCCTAAAACTTGTCATGAAAGTGCAATGAAGTCCTAAAACTTTCAAAAAGTGCAATTAAATCCTAAAACTAATCACGAATGTGCAATCGATTCCTAAAACTTTTCAAAAAGTGCAATTTAGTCCCTAAACTTTTCAAATTGGTCTAATCAAGTCATTCCGTTGATTACACTTTTTGAAAGTTTTAAGACTTGATTGCGCTTTCGTGACGAGTTTTAGAACTTGATTGCACATTTTGAAAAATTTAGGACTCGATTGCACTTCGTGATAAATTTTAGAACTTGATTGTACTTTTTGAAAGTTAATAACTCAATTGCACTTGGTGACAAGTTTTAAGACTTGCAATTATCCCATTATATTATATAAACAATCTCAAGCATAACATTCCCCTTGACCTAAACCGTGAGTTAGCAACTAATGTTGATAATTCGACAAACTTTACATATAGGCAAGATGTTGATAGAAACGTGACATGGTGTTTTATAATCTCTCTCTAACTATAGATTAGATGGTCATGCGCGCTCCAATCAAATAAGTCAAGTTGAAAAACACTCCTTTTTGAAGATAACCATATCATTTTTTTTTTCTAAATATATCGACATAGTTTAATATCCAAAAAAAGACATCCTCCAACCAGAATCAATTAATTAAATGAGCATTGACCCCGAAATTGTACTGTTTGAATGAACTTTTAGTAATAGGGTGGCCTTAGCCAAAAAAAAAAAAGGAGATAAATAATAAATAACTGAGCATGATCAAACTTTAAATTACATAAAGAGGAATTCTTGAAGATTGAAAGCTGAGGTTGACTTTGTCATTCATTTTGGGCTGAGGAAACTGTTAAGTTTGGCTTGGGAGAAAGGAGTGTGGTTTAAGAGCTCTCGCAAGCCACAGTGCAAATGTTAACCTGAACACCGAGTCGGAGTTGAAAGGCAAAATTTGATTACCGGAATGATCTATGAACCCGATTGAGGGGAGCTTGAGTCCCACCAAATTTCTAAAAGGAATAAGAGAAAAGAGAAGAAGAGAAAGATGAAAAATGCTAATGAAACAACAAGGGCACGAGAACTATATACCATGGTGTGAATAAATGCCGTGCAATCCATATCGGAATATGTGATCTCCGACGCTCAGATCTTCCGGCGTCACCACCTTCCCCATCACTTCCCTTGCCATTTTCGCCCTACACTTCACGGTCTTCAGCTAGTGCTTCGGAGCAGCGGCGCCGCCGAAAGGGTCGATGGAAGACGAGGAGGGAGGAGAAGGAAGGAGGGTTTCCGGGGAAATCAAAGAGCGAAGAAAGCCGGGGAGGGTGATATCGGCGAGAGTCTCTTGAGTGAGGAGAGCTAGCATGGAAACTGAGACTATATGCAATAAGATTATGGAGAGGCTCATGCCTGCTGGTCCATCATTTTAGCTTTGATGTGATGGGCAGCAAAATGAGTTTGGTGAGAGCTCCAAACGGTGGTCATTCCTTTCCCCACCGATCTGATGTGGAATCTCTGCAGCAAAATCCAATCAGATTCCAAGGCGCGAGTCAACGTGAGAGGGGGCCCCAAAGATCTACTTGGGGGGGGGGCGGGCGCTCAAGCGTGTCTTCGGACAAAGCGGATGAAGTGGCCGTAAATAAACCAACCACCAGTCGTGCTCGTGAATCAATAATAATTGACCACAAAAAAATCTCAAACCGATACACTTATAATAATTTACCCTCCGTAAGTTTTCGTTAAATTTTACCATCAAATTGCCAAATTAGATGACACCTGACAGTTGACGAGTGTATCAATCTGGGGTTTTTATCCTCTGTTTGTCACATGTGTGTCGGTTTTTAATTTTCTACGGTATTAATCCAATTTAAAGGAAAATAACGGAGGGCGAATTTATTGCAAATATACCAGTTTGAAGTTTTTGGTGGTCAAAAAATTGGTTTGGTATAAATTTATCATTGATATATCAGTTTGGTGTTTTTTCTGATATTAACCTAAACTAAAAATATTAAGCATGGCGAGCGGTAGTTTTCTTTTCTTGGACTTGGAGATAATTGTATTTTGGTTGAGTTATCATTATTGATAATTGATATCACTTAAAAACGGATAAAGAGAGAGAGAGAGAGAGAGAGAGAGAGAGAGAGAGAGAGAGAGAGAGAGAGAGAGAGAGAGAGAGAGAGAGAGAGAGAGAGAGAGAGAGAGAGAGAGAGCAAGGTGTGCCAAAAAAATCGTTACATTTATATAATATCCTAATTTCAATAAATTCAGTTTTATTGTGTATCTTCACGTATCGAAACCTTAGAAACAATGGAGTCCATGGATATTTTGATATAGAGCAAGGCCAAGTGGTAAGGCAACGTGTTTTGATCCCACTATATAATGGTTTGAATCATTCCGTCTCAAGGAATATCTATTCTATATATATAGATCGAAATATTTTTTATTAGAAGAAAGAAATGTTGTCTTTTTTAACCATCTTCTCTACTCTTTAAGTGTAGAATATTGGACATGGAGAAATACTTGTGATTTGTTCTAAAAATTTAACCTATCAAATAAATGCGTGGTTTTGTATTTAAATATTCTAACACTTCCCTCGTGCAAAGGCTGGACTTTAGCTAAGCTTAAAGCGTAGAAATATGTAATTGGAGAGACAAATAGAGACCTGAAAAAATTTGAAAATCAGGAGCTCGCAATAGAAATCTGATTCCTTCGCTCGGAGAAAGTCTGAGCCGGTCGATATATCCAATTTAACTCGCACTCAAAAGCTTAAGTCAATGAGTTTTAGGTTAACTATATATATCAACTATTCCACACTATACTAATTCTTCGATGTTGTACTTTTTTCTAACACAACTTGCATGACTAACAATTAGTCGATTATATTTCTCGATTAAGCCAATATTTTCTTTCTATTATGTCTCCGATTGATTGTTCACAAATTATGGACATCACCAACGTGCATATTTGGAATGCCTCTTACTTTCTCATGTTTGTATTCGTCATTCTTCCATTTTATGAGTAATTAATCATAACGTGGCCACCAAGTTGGACCATAATCTTTCTCAATGAGAACGACGCTTGCTGTCCATTTTATTCTCATTAGAGTGGACCTACTTACGTAAGAGCTCGAGATTCCAGGATGAATTCACTTGCAGGGATCAACGCGAATCAAAATTCAACCTGTCGACATAATTAGATCCGTCAAACGGGTGGACCGAATTGAGTTGAAAATGGTCCGATTCAAATTGACTCATTCATTACAATACAAATCTAGTAATCCATATCTGACCAACTTAGCCCAATCGATTTATATCCGATCCAATTCATACTTCCATATTTAACCAATTTATGAAAACTCGTATCTAATCTAAGAAAACAGGTTCTTCTCGTCATCTGCCTGTAGAACCGCTGCCCAATATTCCCTCTTTAAGATTAGATTATATAATTAACATGCTAGCTGTCGGCTTCTTGACTAATGAAAATAATACTAATTTAAGACGCGGGCATTCTAGAACTTATGGAAAAGAGCCCTACCCCCCCAAGATTTGAGCACTACAATAGGTTCAAAGAAACTGGACAGGAGTCCATTTTGACAGTTTCCATTCTTTGGGGCCACGGTCCAGAAGTTGCACAACGAAAGGTGGCCTCATCATTTTATTATCCGAAACCAATTTCCATTTTTTTATGTCTACTGTCGTCTCAATTTGTGTGGATCTCTCTGATGCTAACTAAAGTAGGACATATGACTTGTATCTGCAGTAGTACACAAAGCTGCAGGATTCAATTCACCATATAACAGATTCCATACTGTGTTTCCGTAAATTGTCTCTCCTTTAATAAAAGCTCGAAAAAGATTTGCGTTGTTGCCCGGAACTTGTTAGTAGCAGTCACATTGTTGCGATGCGAGAGGTTTTCAGTCAAGAAAAAGAAGGGCTAACACCGTTCCTGCCCTCTTCATTTTGATCATTCCAGCAATTTTGGGTGCTCCGCGAATTTCGTAACTCCAATTGGGGTCCAAATTCGACATCTAAAAGATTGATACTAATGGTAAGACGTATTGCGATAGACATATCGCAGATTTGTGCATACTTTTCATATGCCCGTGATCGTATGTATGTTTAAAAGTAACCAGTCCGAAGTGATTTTTTTGTTTTTGTTTTGTTATTGGCGACTAATCCGACGTGATCATAAAAAAGGCACATGATATGCGATACCCTAGTTTCAGTCGGCATCATTCAGTTTAAATATGAACATGGTCTTACAACGGGAAGATGCATCTGATGCAGTGGTATCATAACAGTCTTTATGTCGATTATTTGTCAATATCAAACATTCATAAGGCTACATAACCCGGTGAGAGTAGCTACGACCTGGACATTGACGTACCATAATCATGATTCACAAAAGAGTGCCGAGTGTGATTAGATTATTACGACTCAACAAATTATAAAAAAATAAAAAAAAACGAGTCGGTTGAAAATGTTTACTAAGGACTAGAAAATTCAAATGAAGGCCAAGCAATAGTTCTTTCGTAATTATGATAGTTGGGTAGCTTTGAGGTCAAGCAAGGAAATGGCTAGCTTGTCTCGTTCCCTGTCTCGTTCTATCACCTTTGTTTCCATTAGCTTAGCAGCACTAACTGCGTCTTTCGTAGCATATAACAAGTCAAATTGGTCGTCCTTTCCCATTGCTTGGTGCTCCTACTTTGATCTTTTGCTTGACTTTGTCCCCCGCCCCCACAAAAAAATTCTTCATGAGCCCTGCCAATTTCATAATCTTTGAAGACCTCACAATGATTTTATATATATAGAAAAAAAGGGCACCTTTATTTCCCAATAGGCCAATACCCATGTGTCGCAATAATACGTACCTTTTATATTATATTATATTAGTTTTGACAGTTTCCTAACACTGGATGTTGCGCTCCAATCATGTTAGCCAAAAGGCTGAGAAAGGCACTTTACTCGTCGATTTCATTAGCCTCTTCCTTATACATCCAAAAGAGCTTCAATTATTCAGAAATTTACAACGCTGAGAAAAACATGGGTCGGCACATCCGATTAAAGATACACGAGATCGTAATCCATCATCCGGGAAAAGGCTTCGTCGCACTATTGTCCTACAAAGTATCTCTGCTGTCGAGCAAGTATCAAACATGCAAGCAATGGATGAAGCATTTCCTCTCATAACTCAAATTACTACAGCAATGTTCGCTGCACTAGATCAAACACATCACATTGGCCAAGCAAAATATCAGAGGAAATGTCTGAGAACATGCCCCTGACGTGGATCACTATCTGGACAATTTGCAATCTGTGCCTGCGTGAATGTGCTAACTCAAAAACAGGGCACAAGCTCTTCGCACTATGGTGAGTTAGAAACATCGAGCCTCATTTGCTCGAGTGAGCCTGAACAGTCTCGATCTATCGTATGATTGCATGTAAGGAAGCAAACTGGCGGGTTGAAGAGTTCCGGTCAGGTCAGCAATGGCAAGGTTTGCCTCGTCAACTAAAGCAAGATTCTGACCAAAAAAAAAAAAAAAACTAAAGCAAGATTAGTATTGGCATTACGAATGACAGACGAAATGTAAGCCATCGGATGCTTGGTGGGACTGGCATTTCCTGCACTGTCGCAAGCTGCCTCGACATTCTGGGAATTGCATCTATCGCTGTAATCATGCAAACCGCCAATTACAGTCACAGGCTGTTCTTGGGAATCGCGAAGATGACTTTGATTTATCCACAAGAATGGAGAGCAAACGCACAAGGTGTGGCAGGCACAACAGGTGGTATATCACATCAGCACCTAAGCTGTAGAAAAAGAGAAATTAAGCCTTCACTGATGGATGAAGAGAGAAAACAACCGAATATCTCACATTGATGCTAACAGAAGAAGTGCGTTGGTGGAGAAACTACTCACATTTTATCTGGTTTCAACCCTGAAGTTCACTCTCAAATGCACATTCCCAAGGCAGGTGTAAACATTTTACCTGGGGCGAGGAAATAATATCAATTTCAGTTCTTATTCCTCCAATTTGTGCAAGGTCAAACTGCATCAGGATTCACATGATCGCATAAGATGAATATTGTTCGGATGGAAAATCAGCGCTTGATCGAGAAGGCCTCATTTAAAGTCATGCTTTTCTTGAGAAAATCAATTTGTTCAATGGAATAGGACAAATTACACTGCTGTCAAAGTATATCAAGGACTATGGGAAAGTCATGCAGCAGGACTATTCTTTTAGGATAAAGGCATTATCATAACAATGTCTACCATACCAATGAAAGAAATATCTATCATGGGATCTAAGAAGGAAAACTATGGTGCATGTGTGTGAAATAAGAAACTAAAATCTTGAAAAAGTGCCCGCTTAGGGTGGTACGTGCAAGGACAATGACATGATCGCTCACAGAATCTGTACATTCCGAAGACACTGGCTCATCATCAGCCGTACTCAATTGTTTCATCTTCAAATTAAGCTTCATGTTGCTTGGAGTTGATAGGTCGCTATCACTCAATATTACCCGCATGGATACGGTCAATTTCTAAACTGCTACTCACATATCATCACGAAACTATGTCCAGCGTGTTCAGCCAAGTTTGAATATGTGCTGAAGGGCAGATCACTGCTTTCACAACCGAATCAGCTTTTAATATCCAACTCATGGGAACAATAACAATTACAAGAACCAAGTACAGCAAAAGAGTTGCTTGCCAAAACCACAGTGAGCACAACCCTAGCATAACTACATATACCGATTGATGGAACAAGAACAATACATAAACATATGAAGGTTCGAGTAAAAGTAAAAAAAAAACCTAAAAAGGAAAGGAACTTGATGCTCAACGACAGTACCTTGGGAGCTTTCACATGGGTGAGACAGATACCAACTAAGCCAACCCTTGAGCCAACCTAAATCCAATATTCTAGTCAGTACTGAAATTACTTCTAGTGCATGATATATAAAGTTAAAACAGATTGCACTAATCAGATAAAGGGGGAAAGGGAATAGAATGCCAAGTGATTATCTGACAACAGCATTGATCTCTGCAGTGTTTCCTAGATTACTGGATCTGATGATTCAGATTGTTTCTATAGAAAATAAAACAATAAGGTTGGCAAAACTTTTCTAATGGAATATCAACAACAGAACCAACTCTAATGTGGATAAATCAAGGAAATTGAACCCACAACACTAATGTTTATTTGAACATTCGATGCACTTCAGACAGCTTACTTCAAAACATGTTTTGCTGGAGACTATATCCGGAAAGGAAAGTATGAACTCTGACAAAAATAGACTGGTTGGCCAGATTGAACATCTGATGAGAGAATGGACTGAAAGCTAATTTCAGTCGGCACATAAATCCACACAATGCATGAGACAGTATGACAGCTGCTATTAAAACCATCTTCATGACTGATAAAATTGTAATTTTTTTCTAAAAGAAAAAGAATAAAATACATTAACGCCTTATTATTGGGACAACAGCTTAGAAATCTAGTTGAACGAAACCAAGCAAGGATATGACCAGGACAAGCACTCAGTTCTTTAAAAATATGCAGGAACCAATACCATACATACCCTGTATCTCCTACAAGCATGTTGAGCGAACAATGCAGTAGAACCACCAATTTCCTTATCATTGCATCCTCACAACCTGAATCTAGGATATTATTAGCCAAGGATTTGGTTGATGCACACAATAAATTATACCTCAAGAGAAAAGAATTACAGTTAAAGGAAAAAAAGAAAAAGAAGGTTACCATCTGAAAAAGAAAAGAATTATATTTCAAAACCCTCACATTCCCTTTGACTCCATATTCATCCTAATGAATAAAAGACTTTGTCATGGGTAACTTGAGGATTAACAAATAAACCAGGAGAAAATGGGACGCATTATTCTGTAAAAGAAATTAACAACGATGAGCTTCACCTTTAGAGAAGTCATGAACTCTGTGTACATTTCATACAATGCATCTAGCACATCATCACGATTAGACTCAATTTCTGACATGAGCTTCTCTAATAAGTTTTTCAAGTACGGAGCATGACACTTGCCAATCTGCATCAACACACGGCCTATTCAAAGATTTACACGGTAACAGTTCTTCACTAAAATAATGCAGCAAAAACAGATGACAATGAACCAGATACTCAAGAACTAATACAGAGCTAGTATTAGTAAGCTAGAGCAACAGCTCCAAAAAGTAGCAACGAGAGTAATAACTTCCAAGCATATAATCATATCGACTAGTCCAAATGGTGTCGAGGAGTAAAAACATGTTGAAAATTAAACTTGATTCATGAATCTAGGTGCATTATTCTAAGATTGGTATTATCCGTGTACTTTCTTCCTAGGTGCATCGATGTAGTTCATGTATGTGTCATGCATTTAATTAGTCCATTTAGATTTTCAAGATTCATGTACTACAAAGTTCTAGGAGTTTTATGAGGTCTTATTAAATGCATACAATGTACGAAGGGTCTCTATGTACCTATAAAAGGGCTTGAGATTGAATCATTTTATAGAGCCAAGCCACAAAAATATCAAAGAGTATTCTAAGTATTCTCTTGTGTTCCTTTCTCTCAACTTCCCATTTTCAACAAAGTGGTATCAGAGCTACGGTTGAAGATGAATAGCTCTTTTCCTTATGCCATTCCCAAGCTTTCGAAACAAAATTATGGGCAATGGTGCATTCGCATGAAGGCATTGCTTGGCTCACAAGACGTGTGGGAAGTTGTTCAAAAAGGCTATGATGAACCGGAGGATGAAGCGGCTTTGAATCAAAATCAAAAGAACGCGTTGAACAAGCTTCGTAAAGGTGATCAACATGCCCTCTCTATTATTCACATGGGCTTGGATGAAGCCATGTTCGAGAAAGTTGCTTCCGCATCAAAGGCCAAAGAAGCCTGGGATATTTTAGAAAATAATTTCAAAGGAATTGACAAGGTGAAGAGGGTACGTCTTCAATCTCTACGTGGTGAGTTCGAATCTCTACATATGACGGGGTCCGAATCCGTTTTTGATTTCTTCACTAGAGTATCCTCCGTAACCAATCAAATGAGGCAATATGGCGAAAATATTGACGATGTTCGTGTTATTGAAAAGATTCTTAGATCGCTTGACTCAAAGCTCGATCTTGTTGGTGTTGCCATTGAGGAATCCAATGACTTGGAGACTATGACCCTTGATCAGCTCATGGGGTCATTGCAAGCATATGAAAAAAGATTAAAGAAGAAGGGAGAGACGGCGACCCAAGTACTCCAAACTAAGGTCTCTTTGAGAGATCAAATGAAAAAGCAAGAATGGTCTCATGGGAGAGGTCAAAATCGTGGCCGTGATCGTGGTCATGGTCATGGCCGTGGAGGAAACTTTGGTCGTGGTCGTGGTCATGGAAGGAGCGGAGATCAACATTCCATCAATGAAAGGTCAAGCTTTCAAACAAGAGGACGTGGAAATTATGGCTACAATAGAGGTGAAAGGAGAAGGTATGATAAAGCTAATATTCAATGTTATTCCTGTCACAAATTTGGGCACTATGCTAATGAATGTAGGAGTGCCACTACAAACAATGAAGTGAAGGTCAATTATATTGAACTTAAAGAAGAAGAAGACGAAACACTGTTGTTATTGGCAACAAATGAAGAAAGAGAGAAAGGAGCATGGTATCTTGATACCGGTGCCGCAAATCACATGAGTGGCAACATAGAGTCATTCTCAACTCTTAATGAGGCGGTGAATGGCAACATCATCTTTGGAGATAATACTAAAGCCCCAATCAAAGGAAAAGGTGATGTCTTAATCCGTGCTAAAAATGGAAGTCATCTTTTGATATCTCAAGTTTATTATGTTCTTACTTTGAAGTCTAATATTCTAAGTTTGGGACAATTACTTGAGATGGGATATGATATTCACTTGAAAGATCGTTGCCTTCTTTTGAGAGATGATTCTCATAAGTTGATAGCAAAGGTGCCTATGGAGAAAAATAGAATGTTTTTGCTCAATGTTCAAGTTGATCATCCAAGGTGCTTGAAGAGTTGTGTTGAAGATACTTCTTGGCTTTGGCACTTGAGATTTGGCCATTTGAATTTTGGTAGCTTGAAGACTTTGGCGAATGAAGATATGGTGCATGGGTTGCCCAAAATCAATCATCCCAACCAACTGTGTGAAGGATGTCTTTTTGGCAAACAAGCTAGAAAAAGTTTTCCTAGGGAGGCCACTTCAAGAGCATCGAAGCCACTCCAACTTGTTCACGCCGATGTGTGCGGACCCATCAAACCATCCTCACATGGTAAAGCCAATTATTTCCTACTCTTTATTGATGATTATTCTCGCAAAACATGGGTCTATTTTTTGAAAGCTAAAAATGAAGTTTTTGGAGCATTCCAAAAATTCAAGACCCTTGTTGAGAAAGAAAGTGGCTATTATATTAAAGCATTAAGGACCGATCGAGGTGGAGAATTCACTTCCGGGGAATTTGAAACTTTTTGTGACACCAATGGGATTCGTCATTTCTTGACTGTTCCAAGGTCTCCACAGCAAAATGGTGTCGTAGAGCGGAAGAACAGAACCATTCTCAACATGGTTCGAAGCATGCTTAGAAGCAAAAAGATGCCAAAGGAATTTTGGGCCGAAGCCGTTGCATGTGCGGTATATTTGTCCAACCTATCTTCTTCAAGAAGTGTTCGTGGCATGACACCTCAAGAAGCATGGAGTGGTAATAAACCTAGTGTTTCTCACTTACGTGTTTTTGGAAGTATTGCTTATATTCATATTCCAGATGAGAAGAGATCTAAGCTTGATGAAAAAAGTGAGAAGTTTGTCTTCATCGGCTATGATCCTAAATCTAAAGGTTACAAGTTCTACAATCCTTCCAATGGGAAGATCGTGATTAGTAGAGATGCAGAGTTTGATGAAAATGCCTCATGGGTTTGGAATGTTGCTGAAAATGATGAATATGTCATTTGTCCTTTACAAGAGGGAGAATCAAGCCAAAGAATACATCAAGATGTTATTACTCCACCTCCATCTCCTACTTCTCAAGGTTCCCATGATAGCTCCTCTGAAGAGCCGGTGCGCAAAAGGAATCTTATCAACATATATGAAGAAACGGAAGTTATTGATACTCCAAGTTTATTTTGTTTCTTTGCTGACATTGAACCATTAAACTTTGAAGAAGCGGTGCAGGATGCAAAATGGAGAGATGCAATGGAGCAAGAGATTCAAGCAATTCAGAAGAATGGCACATGGGAAGTAGCAACCCTTCCTAAAGGACAAAAGGCAATTGGCGTAAAATGGGTGTATAAAGTGAAGAAAAATGCCGATGGAAAAGTGGAAAGAAACAAAGCAAGACTCGTTGCGAAAGGCTACAGTCAGAAGCATGGCATTGACTATGATGAGGTATTTGCTCCTGTAGCTCGTTTGGAAACTATTCGTTTGATTATTTCCTTGGCAGCTCAAAATAAATGGAAAAATTATCAAATGGATGTTAAGTCCGCTTTCTTGAATGGCTATCTTGAGGAAGAAGTGTATGTTCAGCAACCTTTGGGCTATGTTGTCAAAGGACATGAAGATAAGGTCTTGAAGTTGAAGAAGGCTTTGTATGGATTAAAGCAAGCACCAAGGGCTTGGTATAGTCGCATTGACAAATATTTTCAAGATCATGGATTCATCAAGTGTCCACATGAGTATGCTCTATATGTCAAAGAAGATCAAGCTGGAGGTTTTATGCTCGTATGTTTGTATGTCGACGATTTGATCTTCACCGGCAACAATGTAAAAATGTTTGAAGAATTTAAGAAGGTGATGGCTCAAGAGTTCGAGATGACCGATATTGGGCTTATGTCGTACTATCTTGGAATTGAGGTGAAGCACGTTGATGGTGGTATCTACATTTCTCAAGAAGCTTATGCAAATAAAATTCTTGAGAAATTCAAAATGGAGAAATGTAAGCCGGTGAGCACTCCCATCGAATGTGGAGCAAAGATGTCAAGGTTTGATGAAAGTAAGAAGGTGGATGCGTCTCTTTATAGAAGCCTTATTGGAAGTTTGAGGTATTTAACTTGCACAAGACCCGATATCCTCTATAGTGTTGGTCTTGTTAGTCGATACATGGAAGCACCTACCGAGAATCACATGAAGATGGCCAAGAGGGTACTTCGATACATAAAAGGTACTCTTGATTATGGTTTAATTTATTCTCCTGCTAGAAACTTCAAGCTTCATGGATATTGTGATAGTGATTGGGGTGGTGATGTTGATGATCGAAAAAGCACCACCGGTTTCTTATTTTTCTTGGGTGATACTGCATTTACTTGGAGTTCAAAAAAGCAGCAAATTGTGACTCTTTCAACTTGTGAAGCCGAGTATGTATCTGCTGCATCATGTGTATGTCATGCAATATGGCTAAGAAAGTTGTTGAAGATGCTTCACATGCCAGAAGAGGTTGCTACCACAATTTATGTTGACAACAAGTCTGCTATTGCTTTGGGAAAGAATCCCATTTTTCATGATCGAACCAAGCACATAGACACAAAATTTCACTTCATAAGAGAGTGCATTGAGAAGAAAGAAGTGAAGCTTGCATATGTGAAGACCAATGATCAAATTGCCGACATCTTCACTAAGGCATTGAAGTTTGAAGATTTTGCAAGATTGCGTGCTTCGATTGGAGTCACTAGATATAATCAAGTTTAAGGGGGAATGTTGAAAATTAAACTTGATTCATGAATCTAGGTGCATTATTCTAAGATTGGTATTATCCGTGTACTTTCTTCCTAGGTGCATTGATGTAGTTCATGTATGTGTCATGCATTTAATTAGTCCATTTAGATTTTCAAGATTCATGTACTACAAAGTTCTAGGAGTTTTATGAGGTCTTATTAAATGCATACAATGTACGAAGGGTCTCTATGTACCTATAAAAGGGCTTGAGATTGAATCATTTTATAGAGCCAAGCCACAAAAATATCAAAGAGTATTCTAAGTATTCTCTTGTGTTCCTTTCTCTCAACTTCCCATTTTCAACAAAACATTCACTTTAGCCGAAATGACACAGAATAAACACAGAAGATTGTTTTTTTTTTCCTTCACTTGTATCCTAAACCAACATCAACATTTGAGCTGAACTTAAAAGACACTTCAATTCAGACATCTTTTTTTTCCCTTTTGGATTCTCTAGTTTCGGAAAAGCTCTCAATCAAGACTTACAGCTCCACTGATGCAATGATCCCAAATGAACCTCTGAACATCCACTGTCACGGACCCACCACCGAGTGATCTGGGTTTCGAATTGAAGAGACAACTGCGTCAAATTCAAAGCACACAGAATCTTGTGAAAAAGAACATCTTCTACCAAAGTGTTGACACCAAAATAAGAATCGGCATACCCACCCATCGGTGGCCGCGTTGGTTTACGTTCAGTTCCTTTCACGAGAGGTCCTGGGTTCAAAACTCGCCCATCGGTGATTTAAGTGGGGGGTCGTGGCGGTGGGATGCTGCGCTAGTCCCCCTCGAGGACTAGTCGGGCATCACCGCTGGTTTGAGCTCTAGCTCGCCGGCCGCGCGGACACCTCGATTATCAAAAAAAAAAAGAATCGGCATAAACGCTGAGTCGGTTTTAATGCCGAATTTGGTATATATGGAAATTAGCCATCCTCCGAAATGCGTTTAGATAGAATTCGGAAACATGCTGAGGAGCAAGCATGAATGGCATCATATCCCGAATTCGGTAATTGATGAAGATCTGTTTATTTACCGAAACATGGAAAGTCATAGTTCGGGACGTTGGAATATTAATGCCTCGGAATGTTGACTTTTTCTCGAAATTCGGGAAGTTTACGCTTCGGGAATATACCGACATTATAGAAAATCGGTAAAGATGAATCACAACCTAGCCACGTAAGTCACGATAGCAGGAAGTTATGAGCAAAAAGCGGGGATAGTGAGCACGAGCATATTGTGGGGAGTTACTTGTCCAGATTTGAAGTCATCCCAGCGGTTGAGATCAAGTTTTGGCGGACAATTAGAAAGGGCAGTTATTGGAAGCACCAAAGTTCAAAGTTTGAAAACATAGAAGTAACCGACGGGCAGTTACAGAATGAGAAGAGATACAAATACTCAGAAGAAAGGAGGAGGAAAGAACGCATCAACAATGCAAAAAACACTCAAGCTTATCTGCACTTTAGTTTCCTTTGTACTTTTACTTCCTGCATTTTCAACTTCCTACAGCTTTGTTTAACTTTCAAGTCCTTTACAGCTTTCATAGGAGTATTGTAACGTAGCTCAGAACTTTGTTGATCTCAGACCCATTTCCAGTCCATTCGGTTTCTATCCGTTCCATACAATCCTGTGTTACACTTTATTTTTCACCACAACTCTCCTAGTAATCAAGCCACAGAACCTACCTTAATAAAAATCGAAAATCGAAGTTTCGGTGAAGGATATTCCTCGTCGTAAAACGAGCGAACATCTTTTTGGTATGCCCGGTGGGACCTGCATGGTAAGATTTGGAGAAATGGTGAGAACCAGGAAATCTGAGGAAATACCGGTAGGTAACGTCAACAATCCAGTTGATGGAGCACATTCTGAGCATTCTGCGACTAATCAAGTTGAGGAGAATGCCGACATTCCTCGGCAATTAACTGAAGAACAAGCCCGCGCGTTGGCACCAGATAATACCTTGGTAGCCACGATGAAAAGGATGTTTGAGGAATAGCAGAACGACCTTACCAATCATATAGTGCGACATGTGACTGATGTGATAAAGCCCATGGTGATCAATGCTATAAATGAGGTAATATCGCGTCCCGGTTCATCTTCTCAAGTTCCACCCTTTTATGCAAATCCTCTTGGGACAACATCGTTCCCACCAACATCGGGACCTCCTCATGTTGGATATAATGGTAATGGGGGATCAAATTCTCAACCTCCCGTTAGAATTATACCAAGGCTAGAGAATCCTACTCCTATAAACCTTATGAATGGTGTTAGTGTTTATAATTTCCCTCAAAATGCCCCAAATGATGTTAATTTGGTTAATCCCATG